GAGGGGGAATTGTAATTTGCTGGTGTACTGGTGAAGTAATAGCCTGGCAAGACTGAGATCGTAGGTGGTTGTGAAAGTGGCTTGTTCCTATCCCTCGTGGTGTTGGATGTTAGAGAAGTAAACCATATTTTAGGCAGAATACAAATGGGTTACCACTTAGAGCTTCAGCTGCTTCACTAAAACTACCCCAGACTTGGCCCGTACGATAATTAGACCCCTACTAAGGCTTTTTACCCTGCGGGGTCTTAGCCTAGTTTGTTTGACTCCACTATGCATTCCACGCTAAGACAATCTCCTTCTCTTAGTTATTTATCTGCCCTTTGAATAATGGATATTTAATAATTAAATAGTTAACTCGCTGACCTCCTTGAATAAGTTGTGGTGAAGTAATTTTGTATGGCTTAAGAATACCTGGTAGAGGAACCTGAGATTCAGCCATTATAATAGTACTGTAATAGTAGTAGTGTGATAAAAGTTTGTAATAAATATGTTTAGAGTAATAAGGTATAGATAAAAATCTAACAAACTCTCATATTTAAATAATAGCTGTTAGTAACTTTTATTATTTCGATCTCCGGAACAACCGGAAAGATAGAAAATAACCCCTAGCAATTAAAAAAGAACTATTGGATTGATAAATATAAGGTTTATGAGTTAAAGCATTAATTAGCGCACGATAATTTAGATAAAACAAGCTAAGTAAGTATTAGAAGCTTTGATTGGCTATGTAAGATCCACCTACCATCCCTTTATCTCCACATATNATAGGCACCTAACAGCTGAGTTCTAGTCATTATCAGAGAATCCCTCAAACTTAGACTCAACATCCATATCAACATCCTTATCATCAGCCTGTACAGCGCTAGCTGACCCTTCCTCCTCTATCTCGTATTCATTGTCGTCGTCATCCTCTTCTTCTTCTTCGTCATTAATTTCCTCCTCATACTCATTACTATTGAAACCTTCTATATATAGCCCATTGTCTTCTAGTTCTATGTTATCTTTGAACTGGTCGTGAATTGGTGGAGGCTTAACTCGTCTAGCAGAGATTAGCAATTGTACGTNATAAAGATCTGTAATAACTTACTCCTAATTAGGATTAGTAACTAAAGTAAGCTCTTTAGGCGT